TCCACCGAAGGCCCCAGTGGCAGGGTCCGCATGCGTCCCCACCACCCATTTCGGCACACCCCTCACACGTTTCGTGGCCCCATAGGGAGCTCCACCGAATGCCCCAGTGGCAGGGTTCGCATGCCTCCCCACCACCCATTTCGGCACACCCCTCACACGTTTCGTGGCCCCATAGGGAGCTCCACCGAAGGCCCCAGTGGCCTGGTTCGTATGCTTTCCCAACACCCATTTCGGCACATCCCTCACACGTTTCGTGGCCCCATGGGGATTTCCACTGAAGGCCCCAGTGACTGGGTTCGCATGCGCCCCCACACCCATTTCGGCACACCCCTCACACGCTTCGTGGCACCATAGGGAGCTCCACCGAAGGCCCCACTGTCTGCGTTCGCATGCCGCCCCCACACCAATTTCGGCACACCCCTCACACGTTTCGTGGCCCCACAGGGAGCTCCACCGAAGGCCCCAGTGGCTGCGTTCGCATGCCGCCCCCACACCAACTTCGGTGCACACCTCACACGCTTCGTGGCCCCATGAGGAGCTCCACCGAAGGCCCCAGTGGCAACGTTCGCATGCCGCCCCCACACCCATTTCGGCACACCCCTCAAACGGTTCGTGGCCCCATAGGGAGATCCACCGAAGACGGTACTCACACCAGCATTACTCACAACTGCATATGGTTGGGTCCTTCGCCAGGCTAATTATGTTATCTATGAGTCCATGCAGTTCGTGTTCTTCGTGTTCCCGGACCACCATTCCCGGGGTTACATTTTCAGTGTCTTCGTCTCATATCCGTGCGGTACTCGCAGCTGCATATGGTTGGGTCCTTCGCCAGGCTAATTTTTCCCAACCATCCTGTGGTGTTGGGTCATCGTTTTGAAGAGTCGGCGCCCCGCGTTCCTCACCTCCTCCTCCTCCCCCCCTCCTTTCTCCCATCATCATCATCATCATCATCATCATCATCATCATCATCATCATCATCATCATCATCATCATCATCATCATCATCATCATCACCATCACCACCGATTTCGGCACAATGGACCCCTCCAACACGTTTCGTGGCCCCATAGGGACTCCACGAAAGGCCCCAGTGGCAGGTCCGCAAAATGCCTCCCCCACCACCCATTTCGGCACAAGAAACAAAGAGCTACACTTTCGTGGCCCCATAGGGAGCTCCAAACCGAAGGCCCCAGTGGCAGGGTTTCGCAATGCCTCCCCACCACCCATTTCGGCACACCCCTCGCACGTTTCGTGGCCCCATAGGGAGCTCCGCCGAAGGCCCCAGTGGCAGTGTTCGCATGCCTCCCCACCACCCATTTCGGCACACCCCTCACACGTTTCGTGGCCCCATAGGGAGCTCCACCGAAGGCCCCAGTGGCAGGGTCCGCATGCCCCCCCACCACCCATTACGGCACACCCCTCACACGTTTCGTGGCCCCATAGGGAGCTCCACCGAAGGCCCCAGTGGCCTGGTTCGTATGCCTCCCCAACACCAATTTCGGCACATCCCTCAAACCTTTCGTGGCCCCATGGGGATTTCCACTGAAGGCCCCAGTGACTGGGTTCGCATGCGCCCCCACACCCATGTCGGCACACCCCTCACACGTTTCGTGGCACCATAGGGAGCTCCACCGAAGGCCCCAGTGGAAAGGGTCCGCATGCCCCCCCACCACCCATTTCGGCACACCCCTCACACGTTCCGTGGCACCACAGGGAGCTCCACCGAAGGCCCCAGTGGCTGCGTTCGCATGCCGCCCCCACCACCCATTTCGGCACACCCCTCACACGTTTCGTGGCCCCATAAGGAGCTCCACCGAAGGCCCCAGTGGCAGGGTCCGCATGCTGCACACCACCCATTTCGGCACACCCCTCACACGTTTCGTGGCCCCATAGGGAGCTCCACCGAAGGCCCCAGTGGCTGCGTTCGCATGCCTCCCCACCACTCATTTCGGCACACCCTTCACACGTTTCGTGGCCCCATAGGGAGCTCCACCGAAGGCCCCAGTGGCTGCGTTCGCATGCCTCCCCACCACCTATTTCGGCACACCCCTCACACGTTCCGTGGCCCCATAGGGAGCTCCACCGAAGGCCCCAGTGGCTGCGTTCGCATGCCTCCCCACCACCTATTTCGGCACACCCCTCAACACGTTTCGTGGCCCCATAGGGATTTTCCATTGAAGCCCCAGTGGCAGGGTCCCGCATGCGGTTCCCCCCCCATCCACAATTCGGCACACCCCTCAACACGTTTCGTGGCCCCATAAGGAGCACCACCGAAGGCCCCAGTGGCTGCGTTCGCCTGCCGCCCCACACCCAATTTGGCCAAGAACGAAACAGGACCCCTCACACGTTTTCGTGGCCCCCACAAGGGAGCTCCACCGAAGCCCCAAATGTCTGCGTTCGCATGCCCGCCCCCACAAGCACAAAGAAGAAAGGATCTAAATGAAAAAAGCACCAACTTCGGTGCACCCCTCACGTTTCGTGGCCCCATAAGGAGCTCCACCGAAGGCCCCAGATGCAACGTTCGCATGCCGCCCCCACACCCATGGTGGCACACCCCTCAAACGGTTCGTGGCCCCATAGGGAGATCCACCGATGACGGTACTCACACCAGCATTACTCACAACTGCATATGGTTGGGTCTTTCGCCAGGCTAATTGTTTCTCTCTCTTTCTCTCTCTCTCTCTCTCTCCCTACCTCTCTCTTATCTATATATATGCCTCTAATCAACCGCACCCCTCTTCGTTCCTTCCCTCCTGGCGTTTGCCCTCTTCCTTCGTCCCTCCCCCTCCCTTCCTCCCGCTCTCACTCGTTCTCCTCCTCCTCTTTGCAGGGCCCAGACTAATACGCTCACGAAGGATTGTCCGCCCGGCACATGTACGCCCAGGAAGGATTGTCCGCCCGTTCAGGTTTGCCCGCCTGTCTAAGCCTGCCGCCCGTCGCAAAGAGAAGTAATCCCCCCAAAGGGGGTGTGATCGAAGACAAAAAGGGCGGGTATCGAGAGTGTGAGTAACTCGTTTTGAATGACACACGGGCAAGTAAGAGCTGACAGTCTTAGAATGTTTGTTTCTGTTGCTGGTGGTGATGCAGATGGTGATGATGATGTTGGTGGATCAGGATGATGATGATGATGATGATGATGATGATGATGATGATGATGATGATGATGATGATGATGATGGTGGTTGTGGTGGTGGTGATGATGACGCTGGTAGTGATGATGAGGCTGATGATGCTGGTGCTGATGATGGTGATGACGATGTGGAGGAGGAGGAGGAGGAGGAGCAGGAGGAGGAGGAGGAGAGAAGGGAAGAGGTGGAAAGGAAGATCTGGAAGATGATGGGAAGGAGCAGCAAATATATATGACGGAGGATGAAGTCGGCGGTGCGCCAGGGGGGGGGGAGAGGAGGCTGGCCTTCTCAGCGGGTTCGGATGTCTATTAGCCATCCGAGAAGTGTTCTAGCCTCCCCCGAAGACACACGAATCTCACCAGAAGGCGCGAGGGGTTCTGAGGAGCCCCACCGCCTTCTGCCTTCTGGGAAGGCCTTCTCATCCTCGCTTCCCCCCCTCGCTCGCCGCCGATGCAAGGGGGGAGTCGGCCGCAGCGCCGAGGCCGGGGACGCGAAGGTCGCCGGCGAGGTGGAGTTGGTGTCCCGCGGCCTCGCGAAGACCGCGAGGCAGCTGGACACCGAGCGCGAGCATTGGCACGCCCCGCTCCGCGCTCAGGAGGAGGAGGGGGAGGAGGAGGAGGAGGAGGAGGAGGAGGAGGAGGAGGAGGAGGATCGGAGGAGGAGGATGAGGAGGAGGAATTGGGAGGAGTTGGGAGGAGGAGGGAGATAAGGAGGAGGGGGAAGAGGAGGATCGGAGGAGGAGGAGGAGGAGGAGGGGGAGGAAGAAGAGGAGGAGGAGGAGGCGGAGGAGGAGGACGGCGTCGCAAACGCTACGAGCTTCGCTCAAAGTTTGCCCAGCGCGAGGAAGGACGGCGGCGCCCTCAAGGCGCCCCCCAGGGGCGTCGGGGCGGGCGGCCGCCCCCGCTGGCAATGTTTTGTTTCCCTTCGAAAGTTCCTTGTTTTTTTGGGGGGGCAAGATCCTTTCATTCCCCAAACAGTGCTTGCCCTGAAGGGGTCCCAGCGGAAGTTCAAAGATTTGGCGAAAGTTTCCCGCCGATTTTGGTGGCAGGCTGGGTTCCCGGGTTCCCGGCTCTGGGTTCCCAGGTTCCCGGTGATTGGTTCCGGCCGGGCCGATTTCGGTGGGTTCTGGGTTCCCGGGCTTCCGGGTTCCCAGTCGATCCCCTCAGCGAAAACCATCCACTGATTGGGGTTTTACTCTGGTGTAATTTTGTCCTCGGAGAGGGGATAAACATTATTCATTTCTAATTAAATTCTTCAAAAGTTTTTGATTTTTTGGGGGGGCACGATCCCTTCATTTCTATTTGTTCTGTCCTGGGCCTCTTCCTGGCCACCAGGGGGCCAGGAACAAGTAGAAACGAGCACAATTAGAGATGAGCACGAATAGACATGAACGACGTGTCGGCCCAGGGTTCTCTTTTAGCTGCTTCCCCCCCCCGGCCTCGACCTGCGCAGGGCCGGCAAATTCAATCTGCGGCGCGCAACGAGTTCGCGCAGGGCCGGCAAATCAAAACGGTGAGGATCTCCCGAGCGCAACGTTGGTTTTTGAAGCTCCGATCGATGATCATCAGGGTGAAGTGAGCATTTTCGTTTGTTGCGCATGTCTCGAGCGAAACGCTTGTGTTGCATAATTTGTTGAGGATGTCTTCAGCGAAACGTTCGTTTTGTGCTATAGATCGTACCTCTCCTGGGGACCAGAATTCAGAGGATGTCTCATGTGAAATGAATGTTTTCACGTGCCCAGGTCTTGAGGATGTTTTGAGCGAGACGCTTGGTTTTACGCGTCCAGGTTGCCCAGGCAGATGTCTAGCATCAGGATTTGTTTAGGAGCGAGACGCTTGTTTTCACGCGTCCAGGTCGTCCGGGCAGACGTCTAGCAGGAGGATTTCTTGAGGATGTCTCGAGGGAGACGCTTGTTTTCGCGTGTCCAGGTCGCCCAGGCGGATGTCTAGCATGAGATGTGTTGAGGATGGGTTGAGCGAAACGCTTGTTTTCACGTGTCCAGGTCCTAGGCGGATGTCTAACATAAGGATGTGTTGAGCATGTCTCGAGAGGGAAGCTTGTTTTCACGTTTCCAGGTCGCCCAGGCGGATGACTAGTATGAGAATGTGTTGAGGATGTGTTGAGCGAAACGCTTGGTTTCACTTGTCCAGGTCGCCCAGGCGGATGTCTAACGTGGGGATGTTTTGAGGATGCCTCGAGCGAGACGCTTGCTTTCACGTGTCCAGGTCGCCCAGGCGGATGTCTAGCATGAGGATGTGTTCAGCGAAATGCTTGTTCTCACGTGCCCAGGTCGCCAAGGGCGGATGTCTAATATGAAGATGTTCGGAGGATGTGTCGAGCGAACCGATCGTTTTCAAGTGTCCAGGTCGGCCAGGCGGATGCCTAGCATGACGATGTGTTGAGCGAAACGCTTGGTTTCGCGTGTCCAGGTCGCTCAGGCAGATGTCTAGCATGAGGATGTGTTGAGGATGTCTCGAGCGAGACGCTTGGTTTCAAGTGTCCAGGTCGCCCAGGCGGATGTCTAACATGAGTATGGGTTGAGGATGTCTCGAGCGAAACGCTTGTCGCAGTAGAGTGCGTCGCAGTCCAACCCCGCCCCTCCGTGGGGCGTCCCCTGGCGCCCTGGCGCGCCCACTGGCGCGTCGCTTGCGACGTTCAGGCGTGACGTGCCCTGGCACGTCCCCTAGCACGCCACTCGGCGTGGCACGTTCCCTGGCTCGTCCTCTGTCGCGTTTCCTCTTTTTCGTTTCCTATGCCCGTTCCGTGGCGGGCCCTTTGCAACGTCCTTTGGCATGACGTCTTCTGGCCGCCCCATAGCACGCGCTCTGGCACGTCCCGTGGCAGGCCCCTGACACGTCCAGGGCACATCCTCTGATGCGTCCCCTGGCACGTCCCCTGGCGCATCCCCTATTGCGCCACTGGCACATCCTGTGGCGCGTCCGTGAGCCTGTGCCCCGTGTCGTGTCGTTCCTTTTCGGAGCTGAGTCGGGTTTTCAGGTCGAGTTGATTGAACGTCCTCCACATTTCCACCTCAACTAGCTCTGGGGCGGTCACTATGTGCTCAGGCTGCTCGAGCTTAAGATCCAGGTCAGTTCGGTCAGGACTCGAATGCCAAGGAGGACTCGATCCACAATGCTATAGAGCACACTCGCGGCATGGCAGATTGCAGTTCAGAGCGGACGCAACGCAATTTACAAGGGATCGTTGCTCTGGGAGTGCGGATGCAGCGTAATTTACTATGGATCGTGGCCCTGGGGGCGCGGACGCAACGTTACAAGGGATCCTGGCCCTAGGTCAGGGACGTCCCGTGGCACGTTCCCTGACGCGTTCCCTGGCACGTTCCCTGGCGCGTCGCCCGTCACGTTCCCTGGCACGTTCCGTGGTGCGTCCCTTGGCGGGTCCCCTTGGCACGTCGCGCGGCGCGTGCGTTGGCACGTCCCGTGGCACGTCCATTTGCACGTTCCGGAGCGCGTCCCCTTGGCACGTCCCGCGGTGCGTCCCCATGGCACGTCCCCTGGCACGTCCCCTGACGCGTCCCCTTGGGACGTTCCGCGGCGCGCCCCCCTGGCATGTCCCCTTGTCAATTAGCTCTGGGCCGGCTACTTTGTGCTCAGGCTGCTCGAGCTTAAGATCCAGATCAGTTCGGCCATGACTCGAATGCCAAGGAGGACTCGATCCACAACGCTATAAAGCACAATCGCGGCAAGGCACATCGCAGTTCATAGCGGCGCAGTACAGCACAGCCTTTGGCACGGTACATCAAGATCGATGCACTCAGCATTGCAATTGCCCGTCGCCCAATCAGGTATCTTGAAAACGTTGCCATGCTTTACACTTCTAGATTCCGGGTACGTGGATCGATCATGTTTCCCACACTGCTTGGGAGCGGAGAGGGGAGGTGAAGGGACAGTGGGCGGGTGCTTGCCTTCTCCGCACCTCCGCGGAGGGCCCTGGCCGTCATGGCAGTGGACGCTGCGGGGCAGTGCGTCCAGAGCGTGCGCAGCAGCAGGAGGACGATCCAGGACTCAGGTGTCTGCGAGACGGCCCCCCAAAAGAGACTTCAGGAGGAGGAGGAGGAGGAGGAGGAGGAGGAGGAGGAGGAGGAGGAGGAGGAGGGGGAGGGCAGGAGGAGGAGGAGGAGGAGGAGGAGGAGGTGGAGAGGTGAGGAGTTGAGGAGGAGTTTGAGAGGAGAGGAGGAGGAGGAGGTGGCGGGACCGTGCAGCAGCAGCATGGGGGCTCAGGCCACTGAGGGCCCGCGGGCACGCGGGCATGGCAGACGTCGAACCCATGATCAAAAAACGGACAAAGATTCCACAGTGAGTTTGGGAACCCGGGAATGGGGCGAAGAAGGGGAGGAGAGCAGAGATGCGGAGGAGGAGGAGGAGGAGGAGGAGGATGACTGGAGAGAGGAGGAGGGGAGGAGGAGGCTGAGGATGAGGATGGATGAAGGAGGAGAGAGGAGGAGAGGAATTTGAGGAGGGAGGTAGGAGGAGGAGGAGGAGGGAGGAGGAGGAGGAGGGGGAGAAGAAGGAAAAGGAGGAGGAGGATCGGAGGAGGAGGAGTTTGCGGACGAGGACGAGGATGAGGATGAGGAGGAGGAGGACGAGGAGGAGAAGGAGAAGGAGTTGGAGAAGTTGGAGGAGGAGGAGGAGGAGGAGGAGGAGTTGGAGTTCGAGGAGGAGGACCCAGGCCCCCTCGCTTCGTGACAAGCAAGCGCGACGGAATGTTTTGAATCTAAAGGGCGCGGGCCCAGGGCTCTCGTCTGGTGGGTAAGCCCCAGTGCCGTGTCCGAGGTGGGCGCTGGCGGAGCTGTTCGTTGGTGAATAACGAGGTCGAGGTGGGCCAGCGAGTTTTGCTTGGAAATGGCGAACAACCACGGTTCTCTGTCAGTTGTGCTCCATTGTCCCTAGCGCCATGACTCGCAAGGGCCGGCGGATTGCCGCTCGAGAAGTAACTTGGTCAAGTTTTGTTTCTTGGAAGGGCCTGGACCCAGGGTTCTCTTTTAGTTCTTTCGCGTGGCCCAGGCGCAGTGACTCGCGAGGGCAGGCGAGTTCCCGATCGATAATCAATGGGGTCAATGGTGCTTGGTTTTGATCGTGTCCGTTTCGTTCGTGCCCGCTCGAGGCAAATGCGGCCCAAATTCGGACCCTTGAACACTAGCAGTGTCGCAGACTCCGCTTGATTGATAAAACGGCGGGCGAAGAGCGTGCTGCGTAGAATCCGAGACGAATTTCCGGCATCTGGCGGGTCCGCACCTTTCGGAGGACGCGCAACGGGGGGGCGATACACGAGGGGGGCAGCGAGGGCTGCAGAAAGGGGCCCTTCAGGGCCCGAGCAGGGTGCTTGCCTCGCCCCCCCCCATGTGTCGCCCCCAAGTACTCCGCACCCAACAAGTAGCCGAGCGCAGGGTTCTCGACGAACCGCGGGGGGGGGGGGCGGGCTCCGGGTGGTCCCCAGCGGAAGCACCCGGGACGCTCCCGGCCGCCGGAAGGCCTCGCGGGAGCGCGGGCCCCGCGCAATTCGCAGAGAATCGTGGCCCCGGGAACGCGGACCCAGAGCAATTCACCCGGGGC